CCCCCCAGGCCAGAAGACTCCGACCAGCCCAGTGGAGAAAGGGCTCCTCCTCCATCCAAGGGTGTGCGGGAAGGTGTCAGGAGGGGTATGTACAAGCCAGCCACCAAGCCCACACATCAGGGTGGTGAACGTGTGCCCAGGAGCGAGAAAGAGAGCCACTATTGAGCCCATTTTGCAGAGAGGGAAACTGAGGCAGCATGGGCTGTCTCCCCTCTGCTGTCTCTCTCCACCTTGCTTCCCCCTCCCCAAAATGCATCCAGGACCCAACACCAGATCAGCCACCAACAGAAGCACAACAGAAAACCCCTGGCACCGACAGAGGTGGCCCAGGGCTGAGGGGGTTTCCAAGAGTCAGCCTCAGGAGGCGGGGCAGGGGCGGGATGCCAGCAGACCAATGGAGAGGCCCCACGGCTTGCTCATTTCCTCTCTTCCGCCACCAAAACACTCCCTGCTGGGAGGTGATTGGTCACTGGGAGGGCTCTGACTGATGGGGAGCAAGGGAGGGGGTGCAACCCAGGGAGGTCTTAGAACCAGCCCCTCCCCACCTACTCTGGGTTGGTGATGCTGGGAAGTCAGAGGCATACCTGAAAATGGGGAGGCCTGGTTCCAGTCCTAGGAGTCAAAAGGTCAGCTGTTGGAACCCATCAGCCACTCCGTGGGAGAAAGATGTGACAGTCCGCTCCCGAAAAGATTATAGCCTTGGAAACCCTATGGGGAAGTTCTCTGTCCTATAAGGTCGCTAAGAGTCCGAATCAATGGCAATGGGATAATGAGAGTTCAAGTCCAACTCTGCCTCCACTTACTGTGTGACCTAAAGCAAGCTACTTACCCTCTCTGTTTCCTCGTTTTCAGACATCACGATCCCATGCATCCCATAGGCCGTATGGGAATCTACTCTGTCCAAGGCAAAGCGGGCTCCGGCTCTGCCCGCAACTACATGGCACTGAGGATGGCACTGAGAACACCGGGGCGCCATGGGCTAGGCTTCCCTGCCCAGCCTCAAAGACCCCCTACTCCCACCCACCCAGCAGCCATGCCCGACCAGCAGCCGCATCTGAAGCTGAGATATGGAGCCTTTGCCTCTCCACTGCCAGGAAAACCCGGGGCGGGGGGAGGAAGAGCCGACCAGAAGATGGGGCCCAACACCTGAGGGGGGTGGAGTGCAAAGAGAAGCTGGTGGCCCACCCGGACCCTCATGTGTACCCAGCCCTGCAGCTGCAGAGGGGAAACTGAGACCCAGATCTACTCCAGGTCAG